CAACCTCAAACTCCTGGGTTCAAGTGATACTCCTGCCTAAGCCCCCTGAGTAGGTGGAACTGCAGGTGCATGACCCCATACTTGGCTGATTTTTCTATTTTTAGTGTAGACTCTTGTTAAGACTGGTCTCAAAGTCCAAGATCTCAGCCTACCAGAGTGCAAGGACTACAGGTGTGAGCTACAAGGTCTTCCTTTCAATATTTCCTTTATCTTTCAGATAAAAATAAAGGTCATTAAGGGCCAAACTGGGTGAGCAGAGAGGGTATTCCAACAGTTATTTGTTTACTGGCTAAAAACTTCCTCACAGACAATGCCATGTGAGCTGGTGCATTGCCATGATGCAAGAGTCATGAGCTGTTCATAAAAAGTTAAGGTCGGCTTGGCGCCTATGGCTCAAGCGGCTAAGGCGCCAGCCACATACACCTAAGGTGGCGGGTTCGAATCCAGCCTGGGCCCGCCAAATAACAATAATGGCCACAACCAAAAAATAGCCGGGCATTGTGGCGGGCGTCTGTGGTCCCAGCTACTTGGGAGGCTGAGGCAGGAGACTCGCTTGAGCCCAGGAGTTGGAGGTTGCTGTGAGCAGTGGAGTCATGGCACTCTACCCAGGGGGACAGCTTGAGGCTCTGTCTCAAAAAAAAAAAAAAAAAAAAGTTAAGGTCATTTTCATCTAACTTTTTCATGTAGACTTTACATAGTAAATTTAGCTATATGTCCAGTTGGTACAAATTCATAATTAACATTCCCTCTGATTTCAAAAAAGGTTAGCAACATCATTTTGACTCTTGATGTGGACTGACTGAGCTTTTTTGGTCAAGAACTCGCTGACTTCCACTGTGCACTTTGACGCTCTCTTTCAGGGATGTATTGGTGAAACCAAATTACATCACCAGTGATAACACACCTCAAAACATTGTCTACCTCTCCAAAAGGTCTTGGCAAATCTGACTTTCCTTTCTGCCTTCGTTCATCAGTCAGCTCCTCCAGGATCATTTTTGCACATGCCTTTCTCATGTCAAGATTTTCAGTTAAGATTTTGCTATTTCTCTACCAATGCTTACTTGGTCTGTGATGCTTCTCAAAATCAGGTGCCAATTTTGACACATAATTCAATTAATTTTGACAACATTTTTGTCAGTACCTCTGGTTACTGGTTGCCCTGACCTCTCTTCATCAGTGATACTTTCTCTCCCCTCAGACAAATGTTTAATCCATTTGTACACTGCTGTTTTCTTCATGGCTTTATTGCCATGAACTTGGACTAACATGCCTCTGACCTCACTTCCACTCTTAAAAACACAATGAACAGGGCGGCGCCTGTGGCTCAAAGGAGTAGGGCTTTAGCCCCATATACCAGAGGTGGCGGGGTCAAACCCAGCCCCGGCCAGAAACTGCAAAAAAAAAAACACAATGAACAGCACTCAGCAAGATACCACCACACGCTGATACAAACACAGCTGTAAGACACTGATATACCAAGATTTATAAAATCGAACTAAGTTGTTTATATAGTGCTGCCAATATAAGTGCACAGCACCAAGTTCACAAACTTAATTGTCAGATCACATATTAGGTACTAAAATAATCAAATTCTTATAAACAGAAAGTAGGATGGTGTTTGGCAGAGTATGGAGAGAAAAGAAAATGGTGATGAGTTGTCTAAGGTATACAGTCATGCAAGATGAAAAACTTCTAGAAACGTATCATACAACAACACACATAGTTAACAATACTGTGATGTGACTTGGCTCCTGTAGCTCAGTGACTAGGGCAGTTTCAAGCCTGCCCAGGCCTGCTAAACAACAATGACAACTGCAACCAAAAAAAAAAAAAAAAAAGCCAGGCGTTGTGGCAGGTGCCTGTAGTCCCAGCTAGTCAGGAAGCTGAACCAAGAGGACTGTGTGAGCCCAAGAGTTTGAGGTTGCTGTGAGCTGTGAAGCGATGGCACTCTACTAAAGGGTGATAAAGTGAGAGTCTGTCTCAAAAAAATTAAAGACAATAAAATAAAATAAAAAGCTGGGCATGGTGGCATGTGCCAAAAGTCCCAGCTCCTTGAGAGGCTGAGATGGGAGGGTCACTTGAGCCAAGAAATTTGAAGTTGCACCACTCCAACCTGGGCAACAGAGTAAGAGCTTATCTTTGAAAACATTTTAAAAGAACATAAGGCTCAGCACAGTGGCTCATACCTGTAATCCCAGCACTCTGGGAAACCAAGACAAAAGGACTGTTTGAGCTCAAGAGGTCAAAATCAGCCTTAGCAAGAATGAGACCCATCTCTTAAAAATAGAAAAACTAGGCTCTATGCCTGTGGCTCAAGCAGCTAAGATGCCAGCCACATACACCTGAGCTGGCAGGTTCGAATCCAACCCGGGCCTGCCAAACAACAATGATGGCTGCAACCAAGAAACCTGTAATCCCAGTTACTTGGGAGGCAGAGGCAGAAGAATCACTTGAGCCCAGGAGTTGGAGGTTGCTGTGAGCTATGATGCCACAGCACTCTACCCAGGGTGACAGCTTGAGGCTCTATCTCAAAAAAAAAAAAAAAAGAAAAGAAAAGAAAAACTAGCTGATTGTTATGGCAGGCATCTGTACACCCAGCTACTCAGGAGGCTGAGGTAGGAGGATTGTTTGAACCCAAGAGTTTAAGGTTGCTGTAAGCTATGATGCCATAGCACTCTACCCAGGGCAACAGAGACTCCTTCTCAAAAAACAAAAACAAACAAAAAATCATAAACTAAAAAAGCCACAGGCGGTGCCTTGGCTCAGTGGGTAGGGCACCAGCCCCATGTACCAAAGGTGGCAGGTTCAAACCTGGCCTCGACTGAACTGCAACAACAACAAAAAAAATAGCCAGGAGTTATGGCGGGCGCCTATAGTCCCAGCTAGTTGGGAGGCTGAGGCAAGAGAATCACCTAAGCCTGAGAGCTGGAGGTTGCTGTGAGCTGTGACACCAAAGCACTCTACCGAGGGCGATAAAATGAGACTCTGTCTCTACAAAAAAAAAAAAAAAAGAAAAAGGAAAAGAAAATAGGGGGAAAAAACAGCCACTACCATCAAAGTTATTTATCAATTTTATACTAGTTTATATAGTATATAGTTTATACTATTTTTTTGTGACTTTGGAAAAACAAAAGAAAAAGTTAACTGATCAAAGTATTCTATAATAGACATACTTCTAACAATGTGAATGTTACTTTCTTTGCATTATTTCTATTATTATTGCTTAATAAAAAAAACTGAGTTTATAATAGGAAAATGCTTGCAATATCTTGCTAAGTAGGAAAAGAACAAATTACGATGTGCCAGATTCTAAGCTTGGTGAAGTTCTCAGCACTTTGGGAAGCCCAGACAGGAGGAATCCTTGAGGCTGTTAAGTTCAAGTCCAGCCTTATATGGTTGCTCTTATAAGTGCAACCATATAAGAGACCCAGTCTCAACCAAACCTATAAAAATTATCTGGACACAATGGCGTATGGCCTAGCTACTTTATTCCCAGCTGCAGTGAGCTATGATGGTGCCAATGCACTTGGCCTAAGTGACAGAGAAAAATAAAATAAAAATTCCACTTTTGAATTATGTGTATTTACTCAGAAGAATGCCCAAAGAATATGAATCCAAAAGTTATTTTTTGTTTTTAAACTGTGACTTATTTTCTCTTATACTTTCCTAAGTTTTCTGCAGTGAGTACATATACCACTTCTGTTATTTGAAGAGGAAAAAACCCAAACTCCAACAATAAATGTTTGGGGTTTTTTTTTCAGTCTTACTATGTTGCCCTCAGTAGAGTGCTGTGGCATCACAGCGCACAGCAACCTAACTCTTAGGCTTAAGCGATTCTCTTGCCTCAGCCTCCCAAGTAGCTAGGACTACAGACACCCACCACAATGCCCAGCTATTTTTTTGTTGCAGTTATTTAGCTGGCCAGGGCTGGGTTTGAACCTGCCACCCTTGCTATATGTGTCTGTCACCATAACCACTGTGCTACAGGCACCAAGTCGGTCACCAATAATGTTTTAAACAATACTTATAAAGACAATGTAATAATGTGGAAAGGAAATATACATACAGAGGTGCCAAAGAAATGGACACTCATGGTGAGAGATGTTGCCTATGCATCACCTTTCACAGCTGAGTTGAACTATGGCAGTGATGTGCGGCATGCTATCTGCACGCAAGGGCAAAGCTCAGACATGACTTATGATTGTCTTTTGTTACCAGAATATATCAATATTACAATCTCAATACAGTTTTCCCTTTCTTAAAATGTATGTGCATTTTTTGGTACCTTATGTATATGCATATATTGCATGCACACACATGATTACAATTATTTTATTTTATTATTATTTTTTTTTAGAGACAGAGCCTCACTTTGTCGCCCTTGGTAGAGTGCTGTGACATCACAGCTCACAGCAACCTCCAGCTCTTAGGCTTAAGCAATTCTCTTGCCTCAGCCTCCTGAGTAGCTGGGACTACAGGTACCTGCCACAACCCCCAGCTATTTTTTTTTTTTGCTGTTGCAGTTTGGCAGGGGCCGAGTTCAAACCCGATGCCCTTGGTATATGGGGCTGGTGCCCTACTCACTGAACCACAGGTGCCGCCCACAATTATTTCATTTATTTATTTTTTTGCAGTTTTGGGCCGGGGCTGGGTTTGAACCCACCACCTCCAGCATATGGGGCCACGCCCTACTTCTTTGAGCCAGAAGTGCCGCCTCAGTCACAATTATTTTAAAGAAAGGAAAATTATGCATAAAATAAGAATAGGAAATACAATGTAAAGCAAAATAATTGTGCTTGTGTTTGAAGGATGAAATAATTATGGGTAATTATTTTTTGTATTCTATGCCTTAAATTTGTCTTCAAAGACTGTTTATTACGTAATCAGGAGAAAATTACTGCATTTATCAACCCTTACTCCAATCCTTCCCTTTTCGCTGTATCCTGCCTCCTAAAACAAACCAAAAGCATACACATGCACACAATCCCGTGAGTACTTACATGGGCTTACATCTCTGTATCTGTTTCGATTTCTATTTTCTGGAAACTTGGCCACTCTATGAGGATAGTCATTGGACTCATTCCGAATTTCCTTAAAACAACAAAAATATACTTTAATATCCCTCTTAAATTTTATAAACAAAACATATTTTCTCAGCCAGTATAAAATAAAATGTATTAACCCTTTATGATACACTGAGTACTATGCAAAAGTGCTGTGTCCCTCAGTCCTTCAGTCCTCATGACACTCACAGAAATGGTGGGGCTCCCCATTTATTGTGTAAGGCATGACAGGCTTAAGGGCTTTCAAAGGTTAAACAATCCACCAAGGGTCATAAAGCTAGTGAGTGGCAGCCCCCAGTACTGAACCAAGGTCATCAGGCACTGAGGTCTTAAGGTCTTGATCTATTCAATGCTAATTAGGCTCTATTCAGGACCTATAGGCACTACACACTTCACCCAGCAGAACTAATGCAGTAGAGGTGACCACAACACATTCAAACTCTGATCAAATCCCTTATACCATCAACCTAAATTGCAGAGTTTCTACCATAATATTTTTACCTATTTCTTCACCTTCCTGCCATACCCTCTAATTTTTACTTTACTTTGAACCCAGAATATACTCAAATTTAACTCCTAGAACTGTAAGTGCTTAGCAACAATTAGTATTCCTGAGGCTCATTTTAGAACCCTGAGTACTCTGTGTTACACTTTGTTTTTTTTCCGTTTTCTTTTTTGTTTTATATTTTGAGACAGAGTCTCACTATGTCGCCTTTAGTAGAGTGCTATGGCATCACAGGTCACAGCAACCTCTGATTCCTGGGCTGAAGTGATCCTCTTGCCTCAGCCTCCCAAGTAGCTGGGACTACAGGTGCCTGCCACCATGCCTGGCTTTTTTTTTTTTTTTTTTTAGCTCAAAGACTTACTATAATAGCCTCCATTCCTAAGTCTGAGTTGCACATAAAGGGGGAATGCTCCTATGTTTGTAACTTAGGGACTGCCTATATACCATAGCAAACAGTTACTGCAAAAGAGGGAAGATCCCAAGTGCACTGGGAAGAATGGTAAATTAGAATTTACAAAACACAATAGAACAGACAAGTCCTTGTGGTTAAAAAATACATTCATAAGATAAATACATTTTATAGTCTCAGCTAATAATAAAAAGAACTCTTGGAGTGACCCTGTTCTCTCAAATCTCTAATCATACCATTTGGCTCCTTCCTTTAATTTCAGTGAACTTAGAAGACAAGAGCCCAGAGATGTGTGTGAGCTGCCAATTCCAATACTCTGGCTTTCTTACTAAAGGTCCCTGACTATACTTTCTGATTATAATGAGCCCAACTGAAACCTATTCTTCTCAGCCTCCTTTAGCTAAGAATGGTACTGTGACAGTCTGCCAACAGAGACTGTGTACTGATTACTCTTTCAGTGAGCCTTAAACTTTCTTTAGGCTCACAATGGCTCAAAACTGTCACCATTATACAAAATACATGCAAAGAGGACACAGTGTTCTGAACAACACAAATGAAATACCCCTCCTCCCCAAGAAAAAGAAAGAAACCCCATCCAAGCTAGATGCAGTGGCTCACACCTATAATCCCAGCACTCTGGGAGGCTGAGGTGTGTGGATCCCTTGATCTCAGGAGTTCAAGACCAGCTTGAGCAAGAGCAAGACCTCATCTCTACTAAAATAATAGGAAAAAAAAACTATTTGGGTGCTGTAGTGCATGCCTGTAGTCCCAGCTTCTTGGGAGGCTGAGGCAAGAGAATCACTTGAGCCCAAGAGTTTGAGGTTGCTGTGAGCTATGACATCAGACCATTCTGGGAGGGGTGTTTGTGTGTGTGTATGTGTATGTGTGTGTGTGTGTGTGAGAGAGAGAGAAATGAGACTGTCTCAAAAAAAAAAGGAAAACACACGATGCTAGGGAAACTGGATATTTACATACAAAGAGCAAAACTGAACCCTTATAGCATACACAAAATTAACTAAAAATGGAACAGAGACCTAAATGTAAGAACTGAAACTATGAAACACTGAGAAGAAAACACAGGGACTGAAAATCTTCATAAACTTGGATTTGTTGATGGTTTTTTTAATATGATACCAAAAAGCAAGGCAAAAAAAAATAACTTCATCAAAATCAAAAATTTTTATGCATCAAATGACACTATCAATAGAGTAAAAAGAAAATCAAAGAATACCTGCAAATCAAATATCTGACAGGGGATTAATATCAAACAAAAATGGGCAATGGACCTAAATAGACATTTCTCTAAAGAAGATTCACAAATGGCCAATATACACGTGAAAAATGAAGAAAAGATACTCAACATTCTTAGTTATTAGGGAATTGCAAACCTAAACCACAATGAGATACCACTTTATATATACTTGCATAACATAATCAAAACTGAGAAAATACTGAATATGGGATATGGAGAAATCCCTATACACTGCTGGTAGGAATGTAAAATGGCCCGCTGCTACAGAACAGTTTGGTGATTCCTTAAGATAAACCCAGAGGTGGGCACCTGGAGTCCCAGCTACTCAGGAGGCTGAAGTGAAGAGAACTGCTTGAACCCAGGAGGGATTCCAGGCTGCAGGGTGCTATGATTATCTAAGAGACTCCATCTCTTAAAAAAATAAAGCTAAACAGAATTAATATATAATACAGCAATTCCACTTTTAAGTTACATACCAAAAAGAACTGAAAGTAAAGACTCAAACAGATTACAGTATGTTAATAATCACTGCAGCATTTTTCACAATTTAAGCCAAAAGGTGGAAACAACTAAAGCTCTATCATCACACTAAAGGATAAACAGGCTCAGCACCTGTGGCTCACATACACCAGGGCTGGCAGGGTCGAATCGAGCCCAGGCCTGACAAACAATGACAACTACAACAAAAAATAGGCAGGCATTATGGCAGGTGCCTGTAGTCCCAGCTACTTGGGAGGCTGAGGCAAGAGAATCACTTAAGCCCAA